AAGTGCTCGGCGATGGCCGGCGCATCTCGGCGGCGGCGCTAGCCCGCCATGCTCGCGCGCGCGGCGGCCAGCCAGAGCGGCGCGGCCGACGCGGCCGCGGCGGCGCTGGCCGCTGTGAACTTCCCAGCGGGCACTTCAGCGCGAGTTGGCGCCTTGGGCGGGCGCGGCGCGATGGCGACGCCGACGACGGTAGACACGATGGTGGAAATAACGATGGCGGTGGCCAAGTGACGACGGCAAGGCAAATGACGGCGCCGATATTGATCGCGCCCGCTGATAACGATGACGACGCACTCGCGCCGGTTATGGAGGTTTTGGAAGGAGTTCGAAAGGCGCGCGCGGCCAACGCGCGCGGGTGGCCCGCGCGGCATGATGCGACATGGATCGCATCCCCGCCCCTCCCCGACACGCGCGCAAGGGCGCTTGGATGAGTTCGACATGCGGCGCGAGAGGCCAATTTGGCAGAATTTGATGATCCACCGCAGCTTCACTATGGACAACTCTCCCCCCCTCTCCCTCCGGGGATTCACTGCCGGCTCGAACCCCCCCCCCCTCGAAAACCGGGTGGGGCCACGACCGGTTCGAACCCCCATCCCCCTTCCCCTCTCGAAAACCGAGGGGGGGCACTACTGGTTCGACCCCCCCCCCCCACACGCCCACCGCCAGCAAACAACTCTGGGCCCCTACCACCGTCCGCGCCACATTCCCCACTGCTGTCCCCAGCGCCACTGTATTCACCACAACTGTCCCCGCTATTCCCACCACCGTCGCCACTGTCCTCACCAATACCCCCACCACTGTCGCACTGTCCCCACTGTCCCCGCCACCGCGGCTGTCCCCACTGTCCCCACCACTGTCCCAACTGCACCTCTGTCCCGTTACCCCCCCGCCGTCCTCGCCACCGCCCTCACCACTGTCGCCACCACCACTGTGCCCTCCACTGTCCCACTGTTTCCACCACATTCCCACTGTCCCCACACCACTGTCCCCACCACTGTCCCACTGCCCCACTGATCCCACTGTCCCCACCACTGCCCCTACTGCACCTCTGTCCCATTATTCCACCGCCGTCCTCGCCACCGCCCTCACCAGTGTCGCCACCACCACTGTATACTCCACTGCCCCACTGTTTCCACCACGTTCCCACTGTCCCCACACCACTGTCCCCCCCCCACCGTCCCCACCACTGTCCCACTGTCCCCACTGTTCCCACCAGTGTCCCCGCTGTCCCCACCAGTGCCCCAACCGCTGTCTCACTGTCCCCAGTCTCCCCGCCACTGTCCCACCACAATCCCACTCTCCCCACTTCCCCCACGGCCCCCACCAGCGTCCCATCGTCCCCGCTGCTCCCACCACTGTCCCACTGTCTCCGCTGGTGTCCCACTGTGCGGTCCCACCGTCCCCACTGTCCCCATCAGTGTCCCACTGCCCCCACTGTCTCCACCACTTTCCCCACTGTACTACTGTCCCACCACTGTCCGCACCACCGCCTTTACAACTGTCCCCACCAGTACCGTCCCCACCACTGTCCCACTCTCCCCACCACTCTCCCGTTGTCCCCTCTCCACTGTCCCCACCTCCACCGTCCCCACCACTGCCTGCACCACTGTCCCACTGTCCCCGCACCGCTGTCCCGTTCCAACCACTGTCCCAACATCCCCACCATTTTCTAACTGTCAGTCCCGAAGAATGGGCATCGTTTGCCTGCAGCGACGGGGGGGTGGGGGGGGTTCGAACCGGTAGTGACCACCCCCTGGTTTTCGCAAGGGGGGGGGGCTCGAAGCGGCAGTGACCCCCTCCCGGTTTTCGAAGGGAGGGGGGGGGCCGTTCGAACCGGTAGTGACCCCTCCCCCCTTTTCATGATGGACTGGGGGGGGGGGTCGAAACCGGTTGTGGCCCCCCCCGGGTTTTCGAGGGGGGGGGGGAACAGGTTAGGGACTCACAGTGACCCCCGCCGGTTTTCCGCCAACAGCGGTAGAACACGCTCTTTCAAATGTTGACACCCGATCGGAAAATTGCAAGAACGCGCGCGGCTTATTTGTTGAAAAATGATGTTGCGAAACCATGTGTTCATATATGCTTCCGAGACGCTCGACTTTGAAATCACTGCGGACCCTAAGGTTGTCGTACGACTCCGGCATGTGCGCGCAACGACGCGCGCGCGCGGGCACTTCGCTCCATTATGTTGCAAGGGATCATTGCGACAGAACGCGCGCAAGCGCATTCGAGCGATTCCGACATACGCGCGCGAGAGAACCGCTTGGTGTAATGTTATGAACATATTGGACAAGAATTTGCAAGAGCGCGAGCGCAATTTTTCAACCTTACTGTTGCCAAACAATGTCTTGTCATATGCGCTCGGGGCATTCAATTTTGAAGAATTTCCGCACTCCCGCGCAACGACGCGCGCGTGTGCATTTCGCCCGACTTGTTGCCAAGAGGTTTTCGAAAACTTGTGTGTTGATAAACGAGTGTGCGCGCATTTTTTTGCACAAAATGAGAGGGGGTGCCGATGCCAGCCTGGCTGGGATTGTACTAGTTCATATTTCGTATGGACGATGGGACAAAATCGTATGTAAACTGCACTCCGACATAGTGGGCGGTTAAATCCAGGGAAAGGAGATCCAACTAATCTATTTGATGCCGTCTATGTGGTGCATTTCACTTTGACTGTCTTGAAGCTGTCCTCTCCACTGCTCGTGCAAACATCCCACCCTCCCACCCGCAACTTGGTCACAAGAACACCTGGGATCGTGACGGTAGGTAACGCATGGCACTTGGCAACGACCCCGACGCCGACAACGACAGCGACAACGACGACGACGACGCCGACGACGACTACGACGACATTGACGACGACTACGACGACTTCGACGACGATCACAATGACGACAACGACGACGACGACGACACTGACGACGACGACGCCGACGCCGACTACGACCACTACGACGACGACGACGACGACGCCTACGACGACGAAGACGCCGACGCCGACGCCGCCGACGACGACGACGCCGACGACGACTACGACAACACCAACGACGACTCCGACGACTTCGATGACGATGACAATGACGACAACGACGACGACGACGACACTGACGACGCCGACGCCGACGCCGACGCCGACGCCGACGATGACGACGCCGACGCCGACGAAGCCGCCGACGCCGACGACGCCGCCGCCGCCGACGACGACGACGACGCCGCCGCCGCCGCCGACGACGACGACGACGACGTCGACAACGAAGACGATGACGACGAGGGAGGAGAGATCACGACGACGGTGACAACGACGAAGGAGGGAGGACGGCGACAGCGACGACGACGACGACCACGATGACGGCGACGAAATAGGAGGGACGACGACGAGACGCCGACGACCGACGACGACGAAGACGAGGGAGGAGGAATGATGACCACGGCGACGACGACGACGGAAACGACGACGACGCCAAAGAGGACGACGACGACGAAGACGACGAGGAAAGACAGAGGACGACGACGGCGACGACAACGAGGGAGGCGGAAGGACGGCGACGACGACGACGACGCAAGAGCGCGCGCGCACGCTTTTGTTGGAAATCCGTGCTGCGAAACGTTGTGCGAAACGTTGTGCTGATATGTGTTGGACACACGATTTTGAAATCCTTTAGAAACCGACGGTTTTTGAAGAATTTCGGCATGCGCGCGCCACGACTTGCGCGTCTGCATCTCGTCCAATTTTTTTGCAAAGGGTTCTCGCGACAGCACGCGCGCAAGGGCGTTCGAAAGATTTCGACATGCGCGCGCGAAGCCCGTTTGGTAGCATGTCTTGGAAGTCTTGAAAAACCTATGGTGTTCTTAAAATTTCGCATGAAAATCAGCGATGCGAAACCATGCAGTTTTTGTATGTGTTGGGAACTCGATTTTGAAATCCTTCCGAGAACCGAAGGTTCTTGAAGGATTTCGGCATGCGCGCGCGACGACGCGCGCGTGCGCACATCGTCCCATATTTTGCAAGGGATTCTTGAAAACTTGTGATTTTTGATAAAACGAGAGCGCGCGCATATAATTTTTGTCCAGAGGATGGCGGGGGGGAGTGATACCGGTTTGATACCCGTTTGGCTGGGATAATCTGAATTCATATTTAAGTTGGACGATGGGGCAGAATCCTACGTAAATTGCAATACGAAAAGGTGTATCGTTCATTCCGAGGGGGGGATGGAGTCTATTTTAGGAAGGAGAATCGACGTGGTGCAATCGATGCGACGACGAAGCGGCAACGGGGCGGCGACGTCGGCAACACAGCCGCCAGACCGGCAAATAGGCCCGCACGACGGGCGGCGACGAGGCGGCGACGGCGGCCACGTAGCCGCCAGACCGAAGGCACGGCCCAGACGACGCCCGCGGCGAAGCGGCGACGGGGCGGCGACGGCGGGCACATAACCGCCAGACCGAAGACCCGGCCCATTCCTTAGAACAGAAATGGAAACGCGTAAGAGCAAGTACTGTTTGGGAAAAACATTCGCCACGAGAGCTGCACGGATGTAGGGCAATTCCTATTTCAAATGTGGGTCTCGCCGTAGCGCCGCGAACATGCGTCTTCAAAGTTCACAACAGTTTTTTGTTAAAACCCTTCTGCTTGACATCCCAAAAAATGTAGAATGGCACGGTTTAGGATTGCCTGGGCGCGACAGTCACATTCGTTCGCGGTCGGTGTTGAAGTCCAAGGAGCGACGTTCTGGCACGGCTCAAGATCGTCAGGGCGCGATTCTAAGGCTGGATCGTGGTGTTGGGATCCAATGAAGAAGATACTTGGACGGTTGTGAAGATTATCGGACGGTTGTTTCTTGTCTTCCACCAGGGCGCGCGTCCCGCAGTGAAAAAATAGCCTGGTCGGGACCTATGACACGGCGAACTTGGGTGAGAATTGATTGTAACATATTTGATGCGTCTTGCGGTTGCACTGGTCCTCACCTCCCCGCCGCCACCAACCCCACCACACCACAGCCCGCCTGCGGCGCCGGGGCAAGCTCGCAGGGCGAGAAGGAGTCCGGGTGCTCCTGGCGGCACGGGGGAGCAGCTTCTCGGCGTCACGCTGGGCCGCAGGGGGAAGGTGGGAGGAGTGGGGGAAGGTTGAGGGGGAGGAGGGAAGGAAAGGGAGGGGGAGGGAGGAGGGGGAAGGGCGGGATGAGGGAGGGAGAAGCGAGGAGAAGCGAGAAAGGCAGGTTCGCAGGTTGGTGCCAGGAGAGGTGGGTGCTGGCGGACGAGCGGGCACTGGATCCTTTTGGTCGCCCCAGGGAGGGAAGGATGCGAGGAGGGAAAGAGCGGGAAGAAGCGGAGAGTGAGGAAGAGGGCAGGAAGAGGGAGGAACATGTTGAGAGGTGGGGCACCACTATCTCCCTTCTCTCCCCTCCTCCCCATATTCCTCCTCCTCATCCTCCTCCTCCTGCTCCTCCTCCTCCTCGTCTTCCTCCACCTCTTCCTCCTTCTCTCCAATCCTCCCCACCTCCTCCGCCTTTTCCTCACCTTCCCCACCTCCTCCAACCTCCCTCCTCCTCCTCCTCCTCCTCCACCTTCTCCTCCTGCTCCTCCTCCCCCCTCCTCCTCCTTCCCCCTCTTCCTCATCTCCTCTTCCTCCTCCTCTTTCTCTGCGTCCTCCTCTCCTTCGCCCTCCTCCCCTCATGAGGGGGACCACCTTAACGCCACCCTCGAACCCCTCAGGGCACGCAGCAGCACTGCGCGCGCGCGACCGAGCCAATCGCTCCCAAGGAAACCTCCCGAAGGGGGCTTGGAGCAGATGGGATTCGCAGACCGCACCGCGCCGCGGATGCATCGACGAGCATCGGTGATTGGGGGGACGAAGAGATACGCACACCGCAACTCACTGGGCCTCTGCCAGGCGCTGTCCTTAAAGGCTGGAGCACACGAGACCAGAAGATCGCACAGCATTGCGGACGCATCGACGCTGCTTTGGTGATGGGAGAAAGAAAAGATACCAGTACCGCTGCTCACTAGAGTCAGTGGACCTCTCCCGGGGCGCATTCCCACCAGGATCTGGCGGCAAACCCAACTTTGTCGGCCAGGGCCTTCCAAGCAAGGGCAGCGGTACCGGTAGTGTGTCCTCCTCTCAGACGGGCGAGCCCTCACATCGTGACCTTCACGCGCGCTCAGGCTAATCCCTGCCGAGGCGATGGCAATCGCAGGAATGCGCCCTCAGAAACTGAGAGAGTCCTTCGGATCGGTACCGAAATAAGGAGATGCCGAACACAAGGATTTCAGGGACAAACAAGATCATAAGTTGGAGGTCCGCAAGTTACAAGGGTTTCTGGGGTGACCGCTGGAATCCCTTCCAGCGCCGCCAGGGGGGCCAACGCCGATCCAAGATTCCCGCATGGATTTCCGACAAGTTATGTTAACACGGGTGTCCCTTCTGTGCGACGTTAAACGTTTAACCGACCCCCGTATCCCCATGGGCGTGTTCTGGGCCCCGCTGGCCGATCTACCCCCCTAGATGGGGATGCAGGCTGTTTCCTCCAGGTTCCGAGGGGTATATCCCCACCTGCGGTGCTGAAATTGTGGGGGTCTGGATGGGGAAGGGGATGGAGATACGGGTCGGTTGATCGAGACTGACCTTATTCGGATGTCTGAGGCTGACAACCTCTCGCCGGGTGCAGCCCGAGTCCACCAATCTTCTCGCACCTGCTCGCCAAGAGCAAGCCGCGCCAGACTCCCCGGCTAGGGCCTCCAGGGCTAGGTTTCCGGCACAGGAGAGATAGATGGCTCGGAAGCATGGGCGCGCAACTCTCAGGCTATGAACGGGCGCGGGGCACCGCATTCGCGGTGCCGAGCTCAACCTGCACAGGCCGAGCCACCCCAACGAGGCTGTTCGGGAGCGGCAACAGCCCGCTGCACCCCCAGTCGGACGTCCTGATCACAATGCAGGCTTGGAGCGCCCGACTGGCCGTCCTTGGAAACGTGACGGGGTCCCGAATTGGACACGGGTGCATCGGGGATCTTGGAGAGCTGGCGCGCGCATTCTGGAGCGGTTTCACCTTGCCATAGCCCTGCCTGGCTAGCGCCGCACCTTCGCATTGGCCGTGCTCGGCGGCGGCACACCCGACACCAGGACGAAACGAAACTAGCCGAAGGCGCCTGCCCGCAAGCAACCTAGAAGGGCGCAGCGACGGAGCGACAATCCGCCGACCCTGTCGGCGTGTGGGAGAAGCTTTTCCGTCTTCCCCACAGCGTCGTCGCCTCTTCTGCTTTCCGGGGGCTCCCTACACAAGTCCACACAAAAATTGAACAACGTCGTCCTTCAGTCGAAGGGAAGCCCCTTCCCTTGATCCCTTCCCCGCCGGGGGGGGGTCCCAGGGCAACTCCTGGGGGGGGCCCGGGGCAACTCCCGGGGGGAGTCCCCCCTCGGATACGCAGCCCCCCGCCTCTCATCTTCCTGCGTCCTGGAGCTCCGTTGACCCTCCGGGGCCGTCTGCTATCTTCAGGCTCCTTGGAGACATTTCGCCATTTTCAGACTCTCTTAGCAGCCTCCGGCGGCACTCTTGACAGCCTCTGCGGGCGCTTTTGGACCTCGCTTGACGCCGTCGTAGAACCCTCTCGGGCCACTTGAGGGCGCTCTTTGCCTATCTTGCTTGGCACTCTCTGGAGCCGTTCCGGAACCCTGGAGGATACCTCTTGAGCTGTCTTCGGACGACCTTGAAGGCATCTGGCGCCGTCTTCGAGCCATCTGAGGGCATCTTGGACTCCTCTACCTCCATTGTCTTCGTCGTCGCTGCCTACAGGGTCGGCGGCATCGGCCGTAAGGCCTTCGCAATACAACAACCGACCGATCGGATCGGACCGAACGCAACCGACTGCAAAGCAGCCGAACAGACCCAACCGCGGACACCCTCGTTCGCGCCCCTGCGGGCGCACTTTGGCGCAGCTGCTCGAGCTGAGAAGCATGCACAGCCCGTCGGCCCGATCGGAATGACGGCGAGGAACAATAGCGACCGACCAGGACTGCGCCCGCCCGCAAATCTCCACACTCCACCTCCGCAATCCACGCCCTCCTCTCCTTCCTCTCCCTCCTCCCCCTCCGCCCTCCTCCATCCTCTCCTCCTCCCTCCTCCTCCTCCTCCTCCTCCTCCTCCTTCTCCCTTGCTTCCTCCTCATTCTCCCTCCTCATCCCTCTCCTCTTCCTTGCCTGTGGGGCTATCTCTGGGGCTCTCTCAGGGGCTCGTGCGTACCTGGAGCCAGCGGCTGGTGCTCGCGAGCCCCGCCTGGCCGAAAAGCGGCCACTTCAACACAGGTGTGTTTGGGACCCCGTGCACAAGACTGAATGCAGAAGACTGCCGCAGGCCCCTACAGTCATTGTCAGGAAACAACTCATGGGAGGTCTTCGCAGAAAGGGTTACCAGCTATCAAGCCAGACTAGGTAGCGAATTAGCCAGTCAGATCAGCCAAGATAAAGCCCGAGATTCAGCTGGCCTATGCCAGAGTAAGCGGGACCAAGCGGAATTCGCCGAATTATGCGGGACTATACCAGATGTCGACCACAGATATACCAGCGCGGATTCTGACTGTCACCTTCCAGGAGTTGCATCCAAATCACGTTGCCAGCAGGCGCGCTGAATGAGGAACGAAGGGGCTTTTCTGTCCACGGCGACTATTGGCCACCTGGATCTGAGGAACGGCGCGAGAACCAGAGCTACTCTGGAATCGGAATCGAGTATCACTTGAGCGTCTTGACTGTAGAACACACGATGGCCCAAAACATGCGCATGCCCTCCGCACAGGTACGCTTTGGGGATCCAGTGCCAGTTAGCATCGAATCGGGGAAGCGGATCGAATCGGAATGCGTGCCGATTCTGGCATCGACACGCAGTAGAAATCGAGACGCATCGGCTGCGCCAGGATGCACAAGAGCGACGTGCAGGCGTCGGCCAACATGGGATCGCTGAGACATCGGAATCTAATCGGATAGAGCCGGATGAACTCGGCATCGAATCGGATCGCTCGAATCGAAATGGGCCCTGCTTCATCCGTGCCTGCTCTCACGCCGCCCTCGCACTCGGCTGCTCGTAGAAACACACAGGCCCAAGTGAACTGCGGGCCTCGCGTGCACTCAGCGCGTCGCCCCGCGCGAACATGCTGAAGCTATCAGAGGGACCAGAATCGTGGGGGCCAAATGGCCGCTCTGGCTGACCGTGCTCACTTCTGACACCCCTCGCTTCTGTTCTCAATTGAGCCCTAGAGGGCCTCGGTTGGCAAGATGTCGGAGCCACAGAGGGAGGCCATGATTAGTTGACGAGTCCCTCTTGTCTGGTGGCCTCCAGCATGGCCACGGGAACACCCCCCAAAGAAGCTCACAAGAGCCCCCCAGGCGCCCGCCGGACTGCTGGGGGCTGCTTGGGATGAGTAAACCCCGTTTGATTCGAGTGATCCGACCTTGCTTCACGCACTCACTACCCCTTCTCGCGACAGGGCATGTGTAAGAATCGCTTCTGGGATGGACCTGCGAGAACAACCAGAGCGTGAAGAACTGGCTGCAAGAGAGCGGCCAGACCGGCGATCAGGAGCGAGAGAAGGCCGACTCCCCGAAGCCAGACACCCCTCGAGAATTCTGAGCGAAAGACGTGCACTAAGGAGGAGATGCAGCGCCTCCTCCTTCCCGATCGCACTTCGTAATGCCACCAAGAGCACCATAAGCATAAACTGTCGAAAGAGGTCCGCGCGTGTTTCTGGGATCTGCGCGGGCAGGTCCCATCGCTGGCGACTGGAGCGCGCCAGGGGCGGCGCTGGCAGCACCGCCAGGGGGGCCCAACGCAGATACAAGATGTCCGCTTTGACCTCCGACACTGTATGGTGATGCAGCTCTTTTAAAGAAACAACATCATAAACATGATTGTTTGACGCTCCGCGCGGATTTCTTGGATCTGCGCTGGACCCCCCTCCCTGGCGCGCTCCGCGCGCTAGGGGCGGCGCCAGAAGCGTCGCCGGGGGGGCCCAGCGCGGATCCGTCCACCACACGATGTCTCCAGACTGGATGCCGGCTGCCCAGTTCACGCAACTACGAGCTGCCCGCCAGGCCCGAAACAACAAATTCAAGAAATCTAAGAAATCCGCTCGGAGTGCTGAAAGTTTATGTTAATGGCATTTTTCCTTCTTCGATTTCCCCACTCTAATGAGCCAATTTTCCACCACCACCACTTCAATAGGACAGGGGAGGAGGGAGGATGGGGAGGTCCTCCTCCTCCTCCTCCTCCTCCTCCTCCTCCTCCTACCTCTCCTACATATGGTAGTGGTGGTGGAGCATGGGCCCATCAAGAGACGGAGCGGCCACCTCCACACCGCGCACCACGGGCAGCGTCTCGTGGGGCGAGGCGGAAAAGTCGAAGGTGGTGGTGCGGACTCTTCGGATGCCGTCCGCCGGCCCAGAGCGCCTGGATGGAGGCGCCGAAAGGGCTCTCTCCACGCAGCTCTGCCAAGCGCTTCTCCTCCTCCTCCTCCTCCTCCTGCTCCTCCTCCTCCTCATCATCATCATCCTCATCCTATTCCTCCTCCTTCCTCCTCCTGTCCCTGTTGGGGCCTGTGGTGGTGGGACTCCGCCATCGAAGCGCCGAAAGGGCTCTTTCCACGCAGCTCTACCAAGAGCTGCTCTTCCCGCATCTCTCCTTGACCTCCATGTCGCATCCTCCTCGGCTCCACAGCTGCCTCCTAGGAGGCCTTGGTAAGAACGAGGAAGGGCGACTCATCCAGCTTGATATGCCATTTGGCCGGATACGCCCATCGACCACGAATCTACCATCGCCGATGCTGAAACTGCCTTCCCAGCAATTGCATCCTAATGCCTGCATTCCTCGATCGTTCCATCTTCCTCTCCCCCTGCACCATCTCCACGGGCTATACGGTTTGCCGGCGTCGCTTTGCGGGAAGCACTGAATCAGGGTGGACACACGATGGATGTCTGGTATCAAAACGTCTGCTACGGAACTGCAATAGAAGTACAGAGGGGGAAATCTGTCACGGCACACGGATATCCGCCGCCGTGCCTGCAGCGCGGCAGGTCCATCATCACCTACTCCTCCTCCTCCTCCTCCTCCTCCTCCTCCTTGGTGGTGGTTCTCCGCCCACCCGCCGCTGACTGGAATGGACGACCCTCCCGTCGGTGGCGCCGGGGCCGTCGCCCGAGCGATCTCGGAAGGGGTCAAGCTAGTCTCCAAGTGCCCAAGCCTCCTCCCTCCTCCTCCTCCGCCTCCTCCTCATGTGCTGACGTGGTGGGCGAACGCCTCAAGATCCAGTGTGTGCGACCGCATGGAGGCTGAGTCGGGCTGACCTCCTTCAGCCCATCCTACCCCTCCTTCCAAGGAGGTCGCAGCTTGGGGCCGATGGGTTGCCACGGTTCTCGGGGTGGGCCAAACTGCCTAGTGGTTGGGCGCCCGAAATTTCGGGTGACCCAAAAGGGGGTCCAGCTGAAAGGGGGTGGTGCAATAGATTTGGGGCAATTGTATTGCAAATGCACTGCGCCGGAAAATTGTATTGCATTGTTTTGCAAGTAATGCATTGCACGCAGAAGTACAGCAATACATTTGCTCCCCGAAATGTGTTGCGCGCCGAAAATGTATTGCAACCCAACAATCTATTGCACCACACCCTTGTCGCTGCACCCCCTTGCGGGTCAGCCTGAGAAACATGGGTACAATGCCCAACAACGACTGTTGTCCAGAACCGACAGCGGCCGCTGTTGGGCAGGCGGCCTTCTGTCCTCAGTGAACAACGTCCACGGCGGCGCGGACAGCGAGTCTTGTTAAAAATGAACAAGAACTGCTGTTGGACATCGCACCCATTCTTTCCGTACCCATTTCATTCGTGCCGATACTGGACGCAGATCTGTGTGGAGTTCGGCCCCTGACACTGCAGTGGGGGACCGCGTGAATGGAGGCCCGGCCGCGGGGAAGGCCGACGGAGGGCTCCTCTGCCCCAACCGCGCGGGCCCCACCTCTCTTTCTGACACCGCGCGAGCCGCTCCTCCTCGGGGGCCTCTGCTCACGAGAGACGAGCATGTTCATACCCGCAAGTCGGTAGGAAGGCGGATCAAGTAGATTGGGTTCAGGCCCTCCCAACCAATACCAAAAACTACAAACATAAAAATAGATCGCTTCTTGAAGCAGGAAGGCGATTGAAATAGGCTGGGATCTGGGAATTCAAGAATGCCTACTTTCAACGACCAAATAATCAACTTTTGGAGGTCCGCGCTGACTTCTTGGATCCGCGCTGGACCCCACCCCTGGCGCGCGGAGCGCGCCACTGGCGGCGCCGGAGGCACCGCCAGGGGGGCCCAACGTAGACACAAGAAATCCGCGCGGACCGTCAAACATTTAGATTTATGCTGTTTTGTCTCCTTCGAATCCACGCCCTCGCGGCCTCGAGTCTGGGGCGCAATACCGTTACTGCAGGCAAGGGTACGTCCCGCGCGGGGAATCCTGGCGACAACGCCCCGCATACACGGGGTCGGCGCGCCTGGTCCGCGAGGCACTTGGATACGGGCATGGCCTCCGCCCACGATCTGCTCCCGAAGGTCCCCAGAGGCTGTCGACCGCATCCTCCGCATGGACTCTTCACAGGAGGAGCTCGACCATCAGAAACCTTCCACAAATAATACAAAAGCCTGAGATCCGAGGAAGTCCATGGATTGTTGATGTGGGAACGTCACGCTGTCCATAACAAAAGCATCGAAGCCCAGGAAACCCAGGGCACCCTGGAGGCATGTGCGGCATGCAGGGTATTTATTGGCATGGGTTTCCACTGTAGCCCCGTCAGCTGCCCGTGGGCCCCGCAGCGCAACGGGATCCTTGAGGGCGCCCAGCCCTTACCGAGCGGCGCGACCGAGCGGCGCAACCTTTACCGAGCGGCCCTTACTTAGAGTAGCAAGAACAGCAAGAACAAAAAATGTCGAAGGCCCGCGAGGCTTTCTTGGATCTGCGCTGGACCCCCCTCCCTGGCGCGCGGAGCGCCACAAGGGCGACGCCAGAAGCACCGCCAGAGGGCCCCAACGCTGATCCAAGAAACCGTCACGGAGCGGAGCTCAATCAATCTCAATCAACGTGTTGATTCAATTGTTTCCTCTTCCTCCTGCTGCATGGAGGCTCGATGGTGTCGGACACTGTCGTCTCCTCCGCCCAGCCCCCCGCCCACCAGACGCGCCTCTTGGGCTGCGGCACCACCCTGCCGGGTCTTTCTCTGCAGGGCGCGCTGGGGAAGCTGGCCTCGAAGCGGAGGAGGACGAGGAGGGGGAAGGAGGGAGGGAGAGAGGGAATGAGTAGGACGAGAGAGCAGGAGGAGCACGACAAGAAAAAGGAGCGGGCAACACCCCCAGGGGGGACACGGAAGAGGTACCCCGACCGCCACTCCCCAGCCCTCACTAAGGGTGCGTTCAGGCCAGTGTCTCGAGGCGAGCCCGGCCGCCCCGACCGCGGGAAGGGCAGCGGTATCAATAGAATTTCTTGTTCGGAGACCCTCCTCAGCGCGGATGCTGCTCGGGGCGCCAGCTCTTCCAAAACGGCCCCCTCGACGAGATATTGAATGCCTCCTCCTCCTCCTTTTCCTTTTCCTTCTCCTCCTCCTCCTCCTCCTCCTCCTCCTCCTCCTCCTCCCTCTTCCTACTTCGAGTGGTTTTCGCCTCCCCTCTATTGCCTCCTCCTCCTCCACCTCCTCGTCCTCCTCGTCCTCCTCCTCCTCCTCCTCCTCCTCCTCCTCCTCCTACTCCCCCTCCTCCTCCTATGGGGGGAAAGGCCGCGAGGGGAGATCTGGTCGGGAGAAGTGGATAGAAACATGAAGTGGAAAAGGCGCTGGAAGCAGAGGTGGTCTCCACCCGCCCCCTGAAAAGGAGGGAAGAGGAGAGGTAAAAAGCCACTCGGTCCTTGAAGCAGGAGGGCGCGTCAAGCAGATTGGATCCCAGGGGTTCCAGAAAGCGCTCGATTGAAAGATCGATGGCTTGCCTCTGCTGAAGGTCTGGACCTGGGACGGGGCTCAGGCGGGCGGTCGCGACGGCTGCAGAGTGCCCCCAAATTGATGCAGAAGGTGGCCGCATCCGCCCAAGAGGGCCTAGAGGCATCTTTCCAGGAAGCGCCACTGAGGACCCAAGATAGGCGATCGGCGCTTCGTCCATACCCCAGCTCCCACCAGAACTCGACTGGCCCGATCTGCTGGGACATCGGTGCGATTTGGATGTTCGCCAATCTTGCGTTTGGCTCGCCCATGCTGCCCAGCGCCTCCAGTCGAATCAAAAGAGCCGAGATCGGCTGAGATATCCTCACGATGTGCGTTTCAACTGGCAACGATATGCAGGTGACGCTGGCGGCGTGCTGTCCGCGCCGCGGCAAGATCGCAGTGTGGACGGATTGTCTGCAACCGTACCGCATTTTGCGAGGGGGCGGATTGGGAGCACGGATGAAAACCAAGCCTCTGGACGCCAGGTCTTTCATCCATCCTCTGACCCCCCTGGCGGCCAGTGGGGAGCCAGCAGCAGGGGTAGGGATCGAACGTCGATCCCCGACAAGATGACTCGAAGTGGCAACGGAGCCTCCCGAAGAGTTGATGACGACCCAATAGCGACGCATTTCCTGACTTGCCTTTTTGTTGGTCTCTTGTCTCGCCTTTGGGATCTCCCGTCGGCCCATGAGGCATGAAGAAGGACGCGAGAAGGCCCACGAGGGCCCCAAGGGGAGCCCAGGGAAACCCTTCGAACCCCCCAAAAGACCAAGACGAACATCCCATGAATACCCTGAGAAGGACGGCCAAGAGGATGCCCATTTTTCTGGGCGCCGAAGAAGGTCGCTCGCTGCAGCTTCCCTGTCGGCGGCCGAGAGCTGTGCGGAACACCCTTGGAACCTGCATGGTCGTTTTTGCAAGTACGGGTACCTATCTTGGCTTCGTTGGGCCCCCCTCTGGACTCTGAGGAGTGCGTTGAAGGTTGCTGCTCCCAATTGGCTGCCAAGTTCTTTGGCAGACAGAGAACCCACCCCCCAACAATCCGCAGACCCCGCCAACGAGCCCAATGAGACCCACATGGGCTCCATGATGTTTTCTCACAGCAACAGCCTCTGCACCATTTAGGTGACGACGGTGGGTCCCGAACACATGGCCAGATGGAAAAATATCCCCCAGGAAATCGGCGAATTCCACACGTCTGGTGTGCCCTTGCTAGACTTCTGACGAGGTCCGTGGACTTTTTCCGTCCACGTGGGCCCCATGATTGCTACAAGGTTCAAACAAAATTCTTGGACCCCTCCAGGGATGCGATCTGCCCACAGTGTCGAAGGGATTCCTGCCGCGGCGAAAGCTCTTGAGGGCCCCAAGCGAGCGAAAGACCTTGATACTCCAACGTTGCTGCATTGGCAATTTTCCCCCTTCGCCGCCGACCACACCCTCAAGAGGCACCCTAAAAATCTCAATCTTCCGTCCCCGATCCTCGATATTCGTGGCTGGTGCTCGGGAACCACAAGCCAGCGCGGTGGCAACCTGCGCGGCGACTGCGAAACCACCACACAACCGCGCCGCTCGGTCCGCCACCGCAGCGAAAGACTCTCGGAAAGCATCCCAAGTCCCCAAACAATTCGCTCACCTGGACCCCCAATAGCTCCGACCTGAGCCGGCCGCTGACGTGATCCGCCAAGGGCACGCGGTTTAACCGCTTCGGCCTCTGCATGCCGTACCTCGCGAAACTTTGGTGGCAGCCTGGGCCTTCCACAGGGCGCCCCGCCACGACGACGGCAGGACCTGGAAGAGGAAGGCAAGGCCTGGGCGAGGAAGGCCGCGCCCCTCCAGCGCACAGAACAGTTCCGAAGGCGTTTCCGTCCCCATTTCGGTCGCACCGAATCTGCTGGGGGGAACTCCTGGGTTGTTTCGGGGCCGCGTTGACGCCGTTATGGTACGGGGACCTCACGGGCTGAATTGGCGCGATTTTGGTTTTCTTGGAGCTTTCTGGGCCGTTTCATTGGTCTGTGGGGAAGCATCTAAGCCACACGTTCGATCGTCTTGGAATGCTCTGAAGCCGTCCTGGGCCGTCTTGGCCATCTGGCGCTCTCTGGGGCCATCTCGGCGGCATCGCCGCCCTCGGGTCTAGCGGGGGTGGGGGCGAGAGAGGGCGGGGAGGGCGGAGGGCGCGGCGGGGGGGGCGGGCGGCGAGGTGCGGGCGAAGGGCGAAGGGCGGGAGGGAAAGCAGCGGGGGGCGGGCGAAGGAAAACGGACAAACTGGGCGGGCTCGCGAGACATCGGGCATCCGACCTGTCAGCCCATATAGTGAGGGCCTTGGAAAGCCATGTTCCCAGGGCACCCCAAGGGGCTGGCCAATGAAAGTGACCAGGGGGTGGGCCGAGGGGGCACAAGTGTGCCGGAAAAACCTGGGACGCCCACCCGCACCAACGCCTTGCCATTGCGCTGATTTGTTCTGTACGTCCGCGGTCGCGCGACATGGCGGACCTGGGGCCCCAAGACAGAATCCATCGGAAAGGGGCTACGCACATGAACCTCGAAAGGGCGAAACACAAAACGCCCACCCGCGGGGCACGCGAGGCGCAGCTGGGCCTCCCAAGCGGGATCCCGCAGCCGCGGGTGGGGGGGGCGGAGCGCGGGCGGAGCAGGCGGTTCCACCTGTCCCCCCCCCTTCGTTTTTTTCTCAAAACAAAGCAATGATACTGATAGACATTGTAGCGACCGGCCTGGGACACACCGAGGCACTCGGCGCTGGAAAAAGACTCCGTCTGGATAGCTGTGGGCAGCCTGCTCCGCCTTGACGACGTCCTTGAACTCAAGGAAAACGCCGCGCGCCTTTCCGGCGCCCGCGGGGCTGACGCTGGGCGTCGGGTTCCTGGGCGCCTCCGGCTTGGCGATGCCGGCTGCAGCGTCGCGCGCGTCCATCACCTTCGAGGTCGTCGTGGTAGCGATCGCGCGTCCGACGGCCGCGTCGACGGCCGCGCAGTCCAGCAGGAGGTCATGCCGCTGGCGACCATGCTCGCGAAGGCCTCGGCGCGCGCCTTGGCGCCCGCCTTAAGCTCCCTGGCGCCAATCTCCGAGCCCATGAAAATGGCTTCGCCCATGATTTGAAGAGCCTGCTTCGTGGCGACCCGTGGAAGCGGCTGGAAGTATAGGTCCGAATCCCACTCGATCTCCTGTGGAAAAGGGTACGATACCTCGGACAACTCCTTCGCAGCGCCGCCAACCGCGTCCCCCTTGACCACGATAGAGCCAGTGGCCTGGCCAGTTTGGCTGGCCTCGACGACAACCGTGAACTCGAGGGAACCGGCGTACGCCGCGTCGGCCGCGGAACCCTTGGCCATGGACTTCAGGTACGCTGGCACTCCCGGGTCGGCAATGACGGCGACGGCGTTGTACACATTCGTCACGGCGCCCTCGGGCACCGAGGCGATCGCGCGGCCGAGGGCGTCGTTCACCTCCACCTCGCCCCAGGCATCGCGCGAAGCCACGCCGTTCTTGTTGGCGCCGATGCTGAGGAAGGCCTTGTGGTGGGCCCCCGCGTTGGGCCTCCGCGGCCTTTTTGAACAGTGCGGCGTCGGCCCCAGCACCCATCGCGATCATCTTCTCGCTGGCCTTCGTCGCCCCGTCCGCCCGGAACGACCCAGGGGGCTTCAGGTACAGAGGGTTTCACCAGTCCACGGACTTAGCGTAGCGAGGAGGTGACAGGCGTCGCCGAGCTTTTCGCCGCATCGCCGATGGGGTCCGCGAGCGCCGCGGCCAGTGCGAGCCCAGCCACGGCGGACGCAGCGGCGGCGGCCGGGGTGCGCACCGAGCTGGGCACGAGCGCTTCCTGGCGCAGGAGATGCGTGTCCGCGAGCGCGGCGGTGGCGGCCGCGAGCGTCTTGCGGGAGCGGCCCATGACGAGCCCTTCCGGAAAGCTGTCCTTACCGAGACTGACAAACAACGCTTCGATCTAAACAAAATACAAGAAACATCAAACAACGACATCTGGATAAACAAACAGTACGCGGATGGTGGCGAAGCCACTCCCCCGAGATTATCCGGGGAGAGAGGATCGTAAAATTCAGATTGAATAATAACTGCAAAGAGGGTGTGGGGAAGAGAGCGGGGAGAGTGATGAGTGGTGTGGGACGAGGACCCAGACATCCTACGTCCTGTTTTTGTGGATACGGGGTCCCTGGATCTCTGGACCGCTTCCCCGGCACCCGTTTTCGTCCCGATCCGTTTTGAGGGTCCTCGGGCCTGGCGAGGGACCCCAAGGGCCGAAAACGACGAAAAGCACACGTGCTGAGTTTTGCGGAAGGCATTGGATGTGTGGGGAAGAGCGGAGCGGAGCTGAGCGAGCATTGCGGGTACCAGGCACCGAACTATCCGTGCCCTGGTGGACAAGGTGCAGGTGGCCGTAGCCTCAGATCCAGCGGGTGTAGAAGGTATGGGTCGAATCGTAGACAAACTGGCGCAGATAAGGGAAAAAAGAGTGAAATAGCACACGAACCTGCAAAGGTACACGACAGAAGTAAAACAGCACACGACCCAGGGCAAAGAGAATAGGTTCAGGAGTGTGCTCCTGGTCGGTGCTGCCTGTTGGTGGTCAGTGCTGCTGGCCGGAGTTTTCCACAACGTCGACACCCAAAGGTCTCGACACACTCCCTGGGACCAGATTTTCATCCTCAACACTTGTTTGACGGTCCCAAGGCACGGCAAGGCGGCAACAGCACCTAGAAACTGAACATTGCCCAAAACTCACGTCGGATTTTTTTAGGACGCGGTGATGTCTGGAGAGGAGGAGGAGGAGCCATAGCGCTGGTCTTGCAGACGGGATACCATGAACATCCACGCGAATGTCTGCAAGTGAGAAACCCCCAACGGCGAGAGGAAAAACACAGTGAAGTTCACGTGGATGTGATTAGCTTCACTTCTCGACAAACAAATCATGGAATTCCACACAAGATCAAGAACGAATTTCACCAGACAATCCGGAGTTCTTCCTTGTTTGTCCGAACGACATATGCTCTGCACAGCAGGCGCCATAGAAGGCGGAACGGAGGAAGAAACAACGGATGAATATAAACTTGTGACGGTCCGCGCGTATTTCTTGGAACTGCGCTGGGCCCCCCTGGCGACGCATCCTGCGCCGCCCCTGGCGCGCTCCTCGCGCCAAGGAATTTGAAGCGCAGGCCCAAGACATCCGCGCTGACCTTCACAAGTTGATGCCTCCCCCTTCGGAGGAGAGGAGGAAGCAAGAGGTCTCCTGGGCTGCGCGTCAGGGAGGGGGGTCCAACGCAGATTCAAGACATCCGCGCGGACTGTCAAAAATGTATGGTTATGCCGCTGTTCTTCGAAGGAGAAGAGGAGGCGGAGGAGGATGAGGAGGACGAGGAGCAGGAAGAAGAGGAGGACGCGTTGCCCGCGGTTCTCCGCTGGGGCACTGCAGCGGAGAATCTTCATTCCACGCTGCTGCCTCTGATTATGCCGCTTTTCGAAAGAGACAATCGTTGGGGACTGCTAGAGGGGGGGGATGCATCGATCTGGAATCGGCGATACGTCACCGATAGATCGGCGATAGGCCCCCGATAGCGAAACCGCGCCTTCCTGGGCGGGGTCGGGCTACCAGACCCCCATCGGCGATCAGTGAACCACAAGGGGTCGATGAATCCCCCCCTGTGCCTGTCCCCCCCGTCACTAGGAGCCCGACCACAAGAAACCCTCCACAAGAAACCCAACCCTGAGACCCCAGGACGTCCATTGATTGTTGGTATGGGGATGTCACGCTCTGCATCATCGAACCATCGAAACCCAAGACACCCAGGGCAATCTGGAGGCAGGCAGGGTGTTTCTTGGCATGGGTTTCCACTGTATCGCTGCTCCTGAGGCAGGAGGTCTCCTGGGGGGCGCGGTCGGCCCCAAGAGGGGGGGGGGCGGGGGGGCGGCCCCGCGCCGGGCAGCCATGGTGCCTCGGGCGCGTCGCCGCCGCGAGTCCACGCGGGCAGGTCGGTCATGGCCCTGCGGGCCCCGCGAAGGGTTCGAACGGAGGGGAGGAGGTGGAGGAGGAGGAGGAGGAGGAGGAGGAGGAGACACGGCCGACCAGTCGTGCAACTGACTGACAGGAGCACGTGCCCACCCATGAGAAAACTAGGTCAGGACCCTACTCGTTCTAGGTCCTTCCCAGCCCTGATGGCTGAGATGATATACTTCTGCCTGGATCGGGTGGGCCCGCGCTGAGATGGGCCCACGCAGGCCGTCGAGCTAAGTCTACAATTCGCAACCGTCCCCGTGGACACTTGATAGGAGCCGCAGGAGGTGCAGACCATGCACCTATGGGTCACCAACACCTGGTGCCCATTGAGCTCGACGATAGCTTCAGCAGGCGGCACTGACGGATTCACTTCGACGGAACCTTCAGCGTCATCCCTACTAGAAGCCTCAAGGGCCACACGCACAGCCTCCGACTGCATCGGTGGCGCGCGCTGCCTCTCGGGTGTCATTCTAGCTCTCAGCTTCTGCTGGGCCGTGGGATCACAGGAGGTCCCGAGGATCCTGCTAAGACTCGCTTTGGTCCTGGCCACTCCCAGACAGGACTTGCATTGGAAAACCCCAGGCTCACGAACCACCATTTCGTGGGCCGTGAGCCCTATTGGCCTGACAAGGGCAGGGGCTCTCACTAATCTACTTGGCCGCTCAGTAAGGGAGTCCCGATACGCCATCTTGCATACAACCCAAGACATCATCCTGGCCTGCATCTTAGCATCACTGATGGCGGACTCGAGTGACAACTCCAACGTCTCCGACGGATCATGGCAACACGCACCCCATTTAGCAAATCTGTCTGCCCATGCGTTGCCGAGAAAATACTCCCAAGGGTGCTGGTCCTGCTCGATAAACGGCTGCGCCGTCTTGTGAGCAGGACACCAGTAAAACTTGGGAGGCATCCCATTCATACTACTCAATATCGAAACAACTGCCTCCACAGGTCGGCGTACGAGGAGTCCGCTTCCTGCTGGGCGAAGCTCCAGTCCGTGCCCTCTCGGACGAGGCTGGACAGAAAGAGGAGAAGCAGGAGGAGAAGGGAAGAAGAGGAGAGGACGGAGGAGGAGGATGAGGAGGAGGATGAGAAGGAGGGGGGAGGGGGAGGAGGACGAGGAAAAGGAGGAGGGGGAGGAGGAGGGGGGGAGGAGGAGGAGGAGGAGGAGGAGGGGGGGGGGGGGAGGGGAGGAGGAGGAGGAGGAGGAGGAGGAGGAGGGAGGAGGAGGAGGAGGAGGAGGAGGAGGAGGAGAGGAGGAGGAGGAGGAGCAGGAGGAGGAGGGAAGAGGAGGAGAGGAAGGAGGATGAGGAGGAGGAGGAGGAAGAGAAGGAGCGCTAAGATAACCGATGGTTAGTTTCAAAAGCGAAGAGGGGAACCGCATCTAGCGACAACCTGGCCCGAGCCTCCCGCTGAGCGAAAAGCCTGGGCTAGGCCGATGCCAGAGGCGGCTCGGGGGGGCCAACTACGCCTCACCCCGCTTGAATTTCTCGAGGACGGCTACACCCGTTGGCGTGAGGAGGAGGAGGAGAAGGAGGAGGAGGAGAGGGAGGAGGGGAACAGAAGTAGGAGGAGGGGGACGAGGAGGAGAAAAGGGAAGAGGAGGAGGAGGACGAGGAGGAGGAGAAGGAGGAGGAGGAGGAGGGAGAGGAGAAGGAGGACGAGGAGGAGGAAGTGGACGCAGCGGCGTCTGATAGACTCGTGTGCCTTCAGCTACTCAGCTACTCAGGAGGAGGAGGAGGAGGAGGAGGAGTTGGAAGAGAAGGAGGAGGAAGAGGAGGGGGGAGGTTGAAACCGGGCGAGCCCTACATCGTGAAGAGCATGCCTGCAGTAACTGCGCTCCTGGACGAGCAAAGCGTCCAGCTCCGTCGTCGCCGTGCCGTCGTCTCCCCTCCCCCCTATCGATGCTGCGGGACATAGTTACTCCGCCCTCAGGGATACTCCAGACTTCTTTCTTCTGCAGGCTCCAGTTTGATCACCCACCCACCCTAGGGGCAGCGGCCCCTGGGAGGGGGAGGGCAGCATCCAGTACATATGCTCAAATCGTTAGCGCCCAGCGCCGAGGAGGAGGAGGAGGAGGAGGAGGAGGAGAAGAAGAAGGAGGAGGAAGAGGGGGTCGGCGGCGCGCCCTCAACCTGAGATCCTGGCGCCACAATATTTTACCTAACAGCGAAAACTGATAGGTTTCTAGTGGGGTCAAAAGAGAGCATCTTGACGCCCTAGGGGGGTCCGGGCAGGATCCGGGGAGAAGCCGCGGAAGTCGATTTAAGCAAACAATTACACACTTCGTGGTCTTCGAGGTCCCAGAACTCCATTCCTGGGCATGATTTTGAATGCCCGGAGCCAACAGTAGGCCACTTCGTGGTCTTCGAATTCCCAGAACACCATTCCCGGGCCACATTTTGAATGCCCGGAGCCAGCTGTAGGCCACTTCGTGGTTTTCGAGTTCCCAGAACTCCATTCCCGGGCCACATTTTGAATGCTGAGGCAGGCTGAGGCTGAGGCCGAGGCTGAAGGCAGACTGAGGCTGAGGCTGAAGCAGGCTGAGGCTGAGGCTGAGGCAGGCTGAGGCTGAGGCTGAGGCAGGCTGATGCTCAGGCAGGCTGAGGCTGAGGCTGAGGCTGATGCAGGCTGAGGCTGAGGCAGGCTGAGGCTGAGGCCGAGGCTGAAGGCAGACTGAGGCTGAGGCTGAAGCAGGCTGAGGCTGAGGCTGAGGCAGGCTGAGGCTGAGGCTGAGGCAGGCTGAGGCTGAGGCTGAGGCAGGCTGAGGGCAGGCTGAGGCTGAGGCAGGCTGATGCAGGCTGAGGCTGAGGCAGGCTGAGGCTGAGGCCGAGGCTGAAGGCAGACTGAGGCTGAGGCTGAAGCAGGCTGAGGCTGAGGCTGAGGCAGGCTGAGGCTGAGGCTGAGGCAGGCTGATGCTGAGGCAGGCTGAGGCTGAGGCTGAGGCTGATGCAGGCTGAGGCTGAGGCAGGCTGAGGCTGAGGCCGAGGCTGAAGGCAGACTGAGGCTGAGGCTGAAGCAGGCTGAGGCTGAGGCTGAGGCAGGCTGAGGCTGAGGCTGAGGCAGGCTGAGGCAGGCAGGCTGAGGCTGAGGCTGAGGCTGATGCAGGGTGAGGCTGAGGCAGGCTGAGGCTGAGGCCGAGGCTGAAGGCAGGCTGAGGCTCAGGCTGAAGCAGGCTGAGGCTGAGGCTGAGGCTGAGGCTGAGGCTGAGGCAGGCTGAGGCTGAGGCTGTGACTGCGACTGCCGTTGCCACTGCGACTGTCATCGCGAATGCGACTGCGACTGCGAGAACAGCAGAATTCTACAACTGGATTTTCATCTGAATCTTAAGGTGAATGCTTTCAGATATGCTCCTACACATCGCTGTTAGGATGCTTTGCCGGGATAATCACAATTCGCGCTCTCGCCCGGCTTTGGGCTCCTGAGGGCCTCATGGACCGATGCGGCTCGAAGGGTGGCGCAGGCAAATGGGATCCAAGGCTCCAGTCGCGCTTTTTCGCTATGTGACAATTTGCGTCGGATTCCATACAAGCACCTCACCTGGCGGAGCCACAAAGGGGGTTTTCAAACGGCGGAGTGCTTCTGCCGAGGGGGGACAGAGGATTCAAGGCCACCTGACCCAGACAACTTGCAGGATTGATGGTTTCAGTTCGGACGTCAATGCTTCATTTCGGCCCTCGGGGTCTGTTTTTGTCGGACCCTGGACGCGTCAAACATGGATCCGGGACGACAAACATTGCTCCCAGGCATGAGGGCGAGACACGTGGCGCCGCGGACCGAGAGAAACATACTACAAAACACGTCGTATGCCTGGGACACCGCGCCACGGGAAGCGTGACGCGCGGCCGTCTTCGCGTCCTCGCGAGGCTCGCCTGGAAGGTGGGAGGAGTAGAAAAACACAAAAGACCATACACGTAAACTTTTGGCGTTCCGCGCGGCTTTCCTGGATCTGCGCTGGACCCCCCTCCCCGGCGCGCGGAACGCGCCAGGCGCCGCCGGGGGGGCCACAGCGCGGATCCAAGAAAACCGCGTGGAGCGCCAACAAATTACGTGTATGGTGTATGGCGTTTTGTCTTCTTCGAAGGAGGGGATCTCTCCGTCCCTGGCCGCGGCGCGCGCCTCTTTTCGCGCCCTATGGGGGTGGACCAGAAGGGTTCTCAGAGGCCGAAGAAATGCTGGAAGTGTTCCTGGCCCGAGGTGTCCACCAGGAGTTCCAGGGAGACCCGGAGGGCCTCCGCAGAGCACTCCTCGCGAGGCCCAGAGGGCCCCAGAGGGCCCCAGAGGGCCCCATAGGAGGAGGAGGGGGAGGAGGAGGAGGAGGAGGAGGAGGAGGAGGAGGAGGAGGAGGAGGAGGAGGAGGAGGAGGAGGAGGAGGACGAGGAGGACGAGGAGGAGAAGAGGGCCTCCAAAACACCCCTTGCGAGGCCCAAAGGGCCGCAGGGCTCCCAGGACGGCCCCAAAAGCTGGGGGCACGCTGGGCCAGGGGCCACTTTTGGCAGCACCCAAAAGGTATGGAACAAGAAACGAACCACCACCACCAGTCTTTTGCCTGAATATGTATAGTTCCTGCAATCTGTTCTGATGTCTCATGATCAGTGGTCTTCGCCGTTGACATGGGAAGTATGGCCGCTAAGCAAGCAAAAGGGCAACCCTGAAAGGAGGAGGCCCGCCCGCCGGCCGACGCACGCGCGCGCCGCAAGCTCGCTTCTTCTCTGTTTCCCTAAAGCCAAACAGCTATAAAGCAACATGCAAGTCGCAAGCAGTGCAAAGTGAGACAATCAGTGCAAGGCGAGAAAGCAGGACGGGCAGCAGAGTGTCGGTGCGGAAGGGGTGCATTTATTCCCTCCGCGGCGGGGTGTGGAAAGTCGCCCCGACCCCCCACCCACATGGCCTGTACATGTGTGCAGCCACAGGAGCGAACCCCAAACACATTTCACCGCTCGACTGCGGTTGACAGGGGGCAGAAAACCGAAACAACCCGGCG